GGAAGTACTCTGAACAGTAGTGATGTACACATGTAATGTATATATATATATAAGTAGTGGTGTGGTCGGTGGGGATTGCCCGTTGGCAATGGGCAACAGGATAGGAACGGAATAGCATTGCTCCATGGGACCCTGAAAGCTGACTCCTCGGTATTGCTATTGGATTTGGTTTGGAGTGCCAAAGAATAGTACCATTGACCCAGGGTCATTTTTATTTTGCCCAAGTCGGGTACAGCAATGAATTTCCAGGAGCGCCCCTTGTTGATCGCGGAGGTTTCCGCAATATAATTTGGTAGAACTTGCCAAACTTATTAGTACAGTTGAAGCACAACTAACATTCTTTGGAGCAGGCACACCTGTGGTGGAATATTGGAGACCATCCGCCTCTTGACAACATTCACATGGGTGGTGCTTGGGGGCTGGGCTCAACATGTGCATGGGTTCAAGCAATAAAGGAACAGAACCCCTAGGCCCTAGGAGATGGTGCAGAAAGGCCGCGAAACGGATCGGCGACGAAGATCGAGACATTTGGGTGGGCTGTTGTGTGGACCAATTTGGCACCGCATCGCATGCGATTGGATCAAGCATACCAGCCCAAAAGTCACTGGTAGAGGCCATTTTAAAGGTAAGCATGAGCAGAATTTAGCCACACGTGTGTCGCGCCAGTCTTGTTTTGAGGATTCTGTTGGATGCTTTCGGACCAGCCCTCCAGTTCTCTCTGATATGATATGACTCTGATATGACGTTCAAATTGTTCTCCAGGTCTCCAGAAGATACTCGGTGGGACTGTTCCGTCACCGCAGGTGACGACACTACCCTTCAGCGGCAAGAATACTGTGATCTACGCCCGGCCTCAGTGAAGGCTCGATTTGGTCCACAGGGCGCGGGCTGCCGTGCGCTGGCGCTGGTGGTGGAAAACCTGGTGGCGGGCACTGAGGCTGCGCTTCCTGCACTGCTGGGCTTGCAGTGATGCGCGCAGAGCAGAAGTATGTGGTGATGAAAGAGTTGTTAGTTTGCAGTTTCGAGGTAAGAAAACCAAATGTTTGTTCGCTCTATATGTTTCTTCGCACCGGAATGGGATCAGACTCAGACTGCGTCTTCAGAGGTGCACGTCTCTTATCTTATCGGAATGAACATTTCGCACATTTGTGGCAGAAAGACGACGATCGTTATACACGGCTTCCTTCTGGTGTGACTTGCTCAAGCCATTGTCAGGTGTTTGATCACCTGAGTTTGTGCAACAGCTGCTCCACAGCGGGGCGGGAGAAGTACCAGGACGTTCTCAGTTTCGGAAGAACATGTTTAATGTCCCTTTTTGCCGTGGCATGCTGCTGTGGCAATGGTTCGCTGATGAGCCTTACCTGTACAGGGCAGCAGGGCAGCAGCTCGGCTGCACCTACCGTGTATGTATACTGCATATATGTCAGGAATTGTCTAGTATGATTTTGTTCCACCCTAGAGCAAGGTGTTTTACATTCTGTTACACCAGCCATCAGCCAGCGTCTCAACCAGCCATCCGCTCATCCTCTTTGGGGTCTACGCTGGTTACATGCTTATGTCATTTAATGATCACGCTGTTCGAATTAGTTTATATGCAGGTTTTCGCCTGTTCCTGACCTAGCACGCTAGGCGGGTCACTGGCCGAGGTGCAGCGCTTGCCAGGCGATGCCCAAATGGCTTCGGAACGAAAAAGTACGTATGTCCATTTTGTGTGTTTCCCCTGTTTTTTTTCACTGTTTTCTCGCAGGTTGTCCTTTTGACAAACTGCTCGCAACTGCCACCATGGGACCATGGGAGATGTTTGAGTTGCATCTTGATGATCGGCGATGTGGGCTCAGCACAATGAGGCTTGGTCACTAGAATGTATATGCAGTTTACTAGGTTTTACTATCGTGTTTAGTGTTTCTGGCACGCTTGTATACCGAGATATCTCAATGACACATGCATATGAGTTTCCTGGTGATATTTGACATCGCAGCACCAGCCTGCTATGGAGAGCGGCGAGAAGTCTGAGATCTCTGACAGGCCTGGTTACCTCGAATAATCACCCTGAATGTTTGTAGGTTCCCAACCACTTTTCACTGGGTGCCACTCCTTAGCCGTAGCCCGGATGAAAGGGAACTGCGGAAAAATCAACATCAACCATCATGCCGTGGAGTGGAAGATGGGATGTGTCATTACACTTGTGGTTCTTACATAGGGACATGCTTTTTGTGCACGATGTATTGAAATGGCTGTTTGTCGAGGTGTGCGGTTTTGGTCGTTTGACGTTTTGCATTGTCCGGCACCACATCGATGGGAAGAAAAGCCTTTCGTTGGAGTGCACTCTTTGAGGTTGATTGGTTGAGACTCAAGCTGGTTCATATATTTATATATATATATATACATGTGTGTGTATGTTGAGGATTTTTGGACACATTCGGTGGCTGGTTTCCCTCTCGCTCGCTCGCTCGGCTTTCTATATATACATATATCTTTAATTATAATCTGACTGTGTCACCCTGTGAAGTAAGAACAAGCCTCGTTTTGCCCTTGTGTGCCCCACTAGGGTTGTAGACCTTCTTCATGTCAGCTGTCATTGCAACGACGTTAACTGCCCAAGGCTTTTAGGTACCTTAATGCTATGACACATGTGAGGCTGACAAACAACAAAGGAGGGTATGGGCTATATCTAGGTATTGCTTGTTTGTGTTTATTCCTAATTTTGTGCCTTTGGCTTTTCATGTTGTTTGTTTTTGTTGATGCCTATTGTTTGTGGTTTATTGTATGGTGTTACATGTCTATAGCCTATAGCTGTTTTTTGGTGTTTTTCTTTTGGGTTTTGTCCTGGTCCTTGGTCTTAAACGTTCAACTATTTCCCCGTACAGATAGACCTTCCTCTTGGGGACCACAACATGATCGCAGAAACGTGTTGCCAGGCTACAGCCAGCGGCTCCAGCGGAGCCACTCGGCGGCTTTGGCCTCCACAGAACTCCAGTTCCGTTTGGTCGTGATTTGTTTGTCACCTGCCTCACCGTGCAAGCCACCCTTTTGGGAGCCCAAAGATTGTTGAAGGGGCTCATAGTGATGATGTATATTATATACTGACATGTGACTGCTGGCATTCATTCGCCTCCTACTTCTTCCAGGCTGGTGTTAACTCACTCCACATAGAATGTAGGATCTTTTTTTTTGAAATTGTCGGAACGACGCCGATACATTCACACATAGATCGAAGGATTGAGTTCTTTCTTGGAGCCAGACAAGATCAAAGATTCATGGCCAAACCAGTACCAACGCTTCCTGAGGCCGCCGCCCAATAACAGGCCGGATCGCAGAAAGCTCTGTGTGATCAATTGTTTAGGTCCACAGATATTTAGTTTATGTTCAGTAACAGCTTGGCTTGACTGGATGTTTCGTTTCCGTTCTGATTCATGCTTTTCAGAGGCGGCCTGCACCTCATGTTAGACCACCTCAGGATCAGGCCTGGGCAAGCGGTTGCCGCGTAAGAGTGGATAATGTCGTAAGTTGAAGGGAGCTTCTTGAATCCTAGAACGACCTCCAAGAAGATTCTCAAACACACAGGGGGGCGAATTGAGCGTGTCACCACAAGCTGGAATGTTGTTGAGGTGCTTTTTCCAACAGTTTAACAGAAAAGCTTCAACTTAATAGGATAACTATTGGGCTTACATTCATAGGGTTGTCCTTCGATGAATCCTGGGGTCTTTGCAGGAGACGAGTCCACCGCCTCATGTCGCTGGGACTGGTGCAGCTGCAGCACAAAGCTTGACCCAGAGAAATCAGGCAGGAAGATCACACTGTAGCTTGGGCACTGGGAATGTTTTTTGAGGGGAAGCTGCGGTCCAGCTTTGATTGACTTGGCTCACAGCACTTTGATGTACCATGACCATGATGTGCCTCTTTATGGCAGCGCGCAGGACCCTGAAAGCGAGCCTGCAAAAGATGTGGCCCGACAGAGGGAAGTGGACGCATGGGCGGACCAGGGAGATACTGTAGATGGACGTTCACCATGTTTGGGGCAAACACCGCTTGCATTGTTGATTCTGATTCTAGTGGTGGGTTGCTTACGCGCATGGTGTTGTTTCCTCGTTCTCGTTGTTGCAAGGTTTCTTCTTGTTGTCATCGTTGTTGTTGTGGTTGTCATTGTCTATTACACATCAATGTGAGGTTCTTATATACATTGCACGGATGAGAAGTGCAGAGCAAGTGTCGGCCTGGCCGCTAAGGCTGGTAGGCAGCTCAGCAACTAATTTTGCCCATTCACAAAGTGTTAGTGCTGAAGGACAAGTGAGGCTGAAATGATTTGTTCTGCAATCATGCCCCAAATGCCCAAATGTGTTGTGCAAAGGAAAGTGCATGGGTATTGTAGGCCAAAGATGTGTATAATGTTTATCAGTCCAGTGAAGGTAGTGCTTTGATACTGGACCTGTTTGCAAGTGAGTGACTTCAGGGAAGGTTGACACTTGCAACAAGGACAAACCAATTAATCTACGCGCATGTGGCATGCCAAATTATCTAAATATGGTTTCGCCCACTATTTGCTTGTTCCTTGGCCAAGGTTTCTTGTTGGTGCAAGTAGAGGTCACAGCCGCCAGCCTGTACTCCGCCAAGGACCTGCGGTGCCAGGTGGAGGCGGTTTTCGCATCCAAGCTAAGAGGTGCAGACGTGCTGCAACGAGAGAGCCCCTTGGAGTGAATCTGTCGGCAGTTTAACAGGGGCATATAGCGTTCTATTGTTTATTGGGTTTGCGGATGGAGAACCACATATGCATGTCCCTGATTATTTTCCTTCATTCGTGGAAGGACAGCAAAGACATGCAAAGACCATGCCATTACCTTGAGATTTGCTTTGACAAATAAGTAGGTTCAGTAGGTTCTGGGGAAGGTCCTTCAGGGCGTTTGGGATCCTTACTTGAGGTCTTTAGGAACCTCTTGGCGCCCAAAGTAAGGCCCTCACTTGGTCACAGTCTCCAACACCAGTGGCGTTTTCCGTCCCAAGGCTACATCGAATTGCTGCAGTCCATTGGGTCCACCTTGCGAGAGGCCAACGTCTTTTTGAAGGAGACCGGTGGGGGGGAAAGCATGGAAAGATGTGACGATAGATGGAACGGTGGGGCAAGCGGCAAGCTGATTTTATGTTGTTTAATGGCGTCCATGTGCGTGGTTTAAACCTCTCAGAGCCTCTAAGCGATCGTCAAGCGAATGGAGGTAGTAGTGTTCACTCTGAACGTGTGAAAGGCACCGAGAAAGGCAACACATCTAGCCACAGAGTCAAATCCTTGCAAGATTTAATTGAATAGTAAAGCCCTACGGATCAATGACTCCGTTTTACTGCGTCGCATTTTTCACGAAAGTTGCAAGAAAATGTGACTATAAAACACTTATGTTACTCGAAAGTTATTATCGTATTTTCCTAAGTGTTTTCCATATTTAACTCGTTGGTGTTGTATACTGGGTGGACATTTGGTGGATTTTTTATTTTTCTGCCTTTCTGCAATCTTTTAATCATCAATCGCTCGCCCTTTCATTCGCCGATTTTGCCAGCCGGAGGCGGAGGGGCCAACCAACCAGATTTCTCTTCCAAGCACAGGAAACGAACAGCATCATGCGTTTCTCATTCAAGGTTCCACTGAAGCTCTTGGCAGGTGACTGGTCAAAGCACTGCTTCAATGTATCTCTGGTGACCTTCTTGCCATGATCGATGTGAATGAGGCCTTTTCGCGTAGCCGCCGCTTTCGCCCACACTTCCTGCAATCAAGCAACTGAGATGAAACAAGCTCAAGGCACATGACAAATGTGGCTACAATTTGAGAAAGCTGAACGAATGACTCCACGTGGCATCAATTACATTGACCCGTGAACCCGTGCCAAGGTCGGCGTTCTCACATCTGGAATCACTATTGACACGTGCCAATTGTCTTCATGACATCTTCGGGGCACAATCTTGATGCGTCAAAGTGGTACGTGTCTGCTCCGTCAGGGCAGCAAGCGCATCTCTCAGCTCACTGAGGCACGGATTGTCATTGCTTTCCAACGCTGCAACAAGATCTTCACTTCACACGTCACCAGGTCACGAATGTGACATGCCATCTGAGCATCCGCCATTGAATACCCCCAGTCCAGCAAGGGCTCGAAGCGCTTGTAATCTGCGCTTGCGCACAGGCCTCTCTTCAAACTCTCAACGGTGGTGCGGCTGATCTCGTCAAACGCCACGTGCTGTGTGTTGTTGGCCTTCACGGCACGCCGCTTATTAATATTCTGAATCACAAAGCGGTGTATTTAATGTATGATGCCTCTTGTCAGTTGGTAAAAATTGTGACCACACCCACACGTGTCAGTTGGCACAATTGTAGTCAAGTACACAGCAGAATGAACCCTTATGACAGTCTGCAAAAAATGCAAAGCCAATCCTGAATCAGCTTGGGTTGCTTCAGAATCTCTTGGCGCCGCAAGACCGGGTTCAGCAGTGTCTCCACCACGAGTTTCAAGTTAGCTGTCGCATCTGCCATCAATGCAATCACATTGCGAGCCTGCTGCATGACAGCAATTAACATGAGACCCATAGCTGCCCAGCATTGCTTTCCATTTGTAGAAGACTTCTCCTTTCCTGTCAAGAATTGCGTGGTCACAGTGTCACATGTCACTGTCTCAGCCTCAAGTGAAGAGAACTGAGCAGCATCTCCAATGCATCAGTGACACCTGGCTCGGGACCCAAGCGGAGCTTGTCAATGAACTTTGCCACAGACACTATCAACCGATAAAGCAGCGCGGGTCCATCTGTCAAAAGGCACCTGCCATATTTCGACTCCAGGAACGACTGCAAGGCTCGGCACCGCGTGACAGATTCTTTGACATCGAGTCACATGAAACTAGCATGTTCCTCGTCACCGGTATGCCCTGCCAAAGCACGCCATCTTGCCGCAATTTCTCGAGGCATTTGGCATGTGTCACGTTCACGCTGTCACATGACACAATGTCAGCCACGACAATCTTCAACTTGTCGGCGAAGGTGATCAGTTGTCACATGACACCTCAAGAGCACGTGTGCGCTTTGCTGACGCCACAGCCACCTTCATCGCATTAGCATCTGACAGCCAGAGCGTGACCCGAATGGTGACTGTCAACATGGCCTCAAACAATGCCCCAATCCGTTCATTGTCACTTGCCACAATCGCCTCGTGCATTGCCAGCCACCATGCGGCATGTATCAAATGTCCGCACAGCAGCTTCAAACTGGCCGGATGCTCACCAGTGCTGGGAGACACGACGTCAGTTGGGGCACTTGACAGCTGTCTCAAGTGTCACAGGGAAAAGAATCCGGCCATGATGATGCGGGCTTGGATCAAAGGAGCCTTGGCCTGTGTCAACTGGTTCCAGCTGCCAAGGTGGATCGGCCACGTGGCACTGGCATCAGTTTCACGCGGCACATCGCCTTCAGCAGTAAGTGGCAAGTTGTCAACCGGGCTGCAAGACATCCAGAAACCACTCCCACCTGCTTCATACAATGCACTTGTGCGAAGCCTTTGGACGGCGTTGTCCTTTTTCCACATCTCCTTGTATGAGCACACCTTTCTGCTCTTGCTGCCATTTGTCGCGGTGCCAGATGTCACAGTGGCACTTGACTGTTCTGGCATCGCCAACGGTGGCACCGAGTCCAAATCCTTCACCTCATTCTGAATCAGCTTCAACTTCTTGAGTACGGGCATCAACTTCTCTTTCACCTCGGTTCGGGAGACGCAAATGGATCACAACTCACAACTGTAACCAAAGATCCATGAGAGAGTTTTGGCGCTGTCACATGGCCAAATGTCCGGCTGTGGGCCACCGCTGGCCAAGTACATACACGGACTCCACGCCACCACAAAGCAAAAACTCACTGACATGCTATACAGCTTGATTGCGCAAAAAAACAGCGACAGGTAAAACGAGTTCCCAAAAGGCAGCTACTCTTTCTCATCTGCAACGGCCATGTGTAATAACAAGACATGTCGCATCTGGAATCAGGACCTTCATGACATCCAGCCGCAGAGACCACATCAGGATTGTTTTGAGCGTGTTCCAGAAGCGATGTCAAAGTCTGATTCTTTGGAGCCATGGCTGATGGTGGCCCGGTCTGATGGCGGCTCGGCCAACTGTTAGGGGGCAAGTGGCACTGCAGCAGAAAATGACAACATTAGTCATAGGAGGTAATGTTCCAACTTTTTCTTCATAGATTACCTAGGCGTTTTCCGGAAAACGCCTAGGTAATCTTATGTGCACATTCGAAATGATTACATGCTCTTTACTTAGCTAAGTAAAGCCAAAGTAAATCATGATGCGTGAATGATGAGATTACCTAGGCGTTTTCCGGAAAACGCCTAGGTAATCTCATCTGTCCAAGTCCAAGCAAATCAATCTGTCATGCACTTTTCAAATCCCCTGCACTCCGCATCGAATATTGAAAAGACAGTTGGTCCACTGTCTAACCCCTGCCCAGACACAAATAGCTGGGTCTGAGCTTCAACAATTGTCATACAGCAAGTGGCAAGTGTCACTTGGTCAAGCCAATTACAGCACACAAAAGCATTGCGCCAACGCAGGGCAAGCTCATGGCATTCCATGCCATCTTGACACCTTCCCCATGTGCAACATGGCTAATGTCCAACTGTGGACTACTGCTGGCCTTGGCTGCCTCAGGTGTCACAGGGATGCAGTGTGTGGACAAGGCCTCTTCCACGCTCAGGAACCGCTGTTTCACCTGTGGCAAACAAAGGGTGAAGATAGGGTGAAGTAATAAGCAGACTGCCTGTCTAAAACGCATTGTTTGCAGCTAGCCTTGTAGAACATCCCGCCCCGAAGTTGTCAACAATGTTGGCAAAGGACTTGGGCGTCCGCGACCATTCTTTGCCATCTGTGACAAATCAACGATGACCTTCTTCGGCGTATGCTTGCTGTATTGTTTGAGGTTGGCTGCCTCAGGCCGGTCATGGGCTAATAGCGCATAAAATAGCAATAACATCAATGAAGCGATTGAAATAAACCACCAATTGGTTTGAGCATGGTGCATCAGCATGTGACAAACGGCACGCCAGCTTGGATGACCACCAGAACTTATCACATGTGAAATTACCGTGGACACGTGAAGTCAATGTCCTCAACAACTGCTGCAGGTCCGGAACGTCAGGGTGCCAGGCAAGACGATCCGTCCTGAAGGCCAACGCGTAAAGGCGTGTCCTGCTGGCTGGAAGACCAAACAATTGTGGATCAATGCACGCGTGCATGACCTGCCATACTGTGACATTCTCCCACAGCAGAATGTCGCTGTTGTCACCATTTTTGTGAAGCTTGAAGTATCGCCGATGTGTCTTGACCACAGGATCAGGGGCCTTGCCGCCGCTTGCCCATCATGGAATATGAGACACATGGACCTCCTGGCTGAAACAAGGTTCAAATCAAATCTATCGTGCATGTGACAAAGATTGACAACCGCCTGTCTTTCAATTCTGTCAGTCCTTCCTGCCACGTTGACACGCATACCTCAGCAGGCAGTCCCGTTACGTTGTGTGCTTGACATGAACCAACTCTCAATGTGCGTGCAAGCTGCGAGTAGTTGACTTCACTGGGCAAACCTTGTCATGTGTCATGCAGTGGCAGCTCCCCTTCTCCGGAAAGAATCCCATGATATCTGGAGCAACGCACATGGCATATGTATTCTTGAGTACCTCAATCATCCAAAAACTGATCACAGTAATTACTCAGCTCAGACCCAATGATGCATGAACAGTCTGGGTGAGGTGTGCCCTGCCTTCTGACAACTGGCATTGCATTCCACAGCCCAGTCGAAGATCACTGGATGGCTGGATGAAGACGACGTATATGGCTTAGCAGCATTCGACAAACTCAAAGCTGCCTTGGTGCAAACTGTCCATCTTTCCCTCTCAAAATCGGGGACAAGTGGCACACACACATGCGCAAGAAATTGAAACATTTGTTAAAAGGCTAATGACCGACTCTGCACAGCCCACAGCCCAAGAAAGCAGTGCCCATACACCACGACCATGACCGTAAACGTCTGCTAAAAGTCCTTGCCCAGGGCCCGCTCCATTCTCTTCATGAACACCTTGGCCCAGGTGAAGGAAGACTTGACATCAGCTGGGCCATCAATGGGGATCGGCACATTGGTTTTCCGGAAGCACTTCCTCAGCAGGAACAACTGTAATGGTAAGCATCAAAAAAAATCAGTTTAAAGCTCGTCATGTCAAGCAAGGCTCTCTTTCTTAAAATGATACTTCTTCACAGCCTTCTTCTTCATGACCTTCATGGGCCTTAAAGTAGTTTCTTTCGATGGGGCAACGTGCTGACAAGAAATCTGATGTCTCAAAAAGGTGGCAGGATGGGGATCAGACTTTGGCATGTGGTCAACTATCACCTGGCAGCAGGAGTGACTAGCTTAGCTGCTTGAACCACTTGCCTGCCGCAAAAGACTTCCACAAACAAACTAAACCAATTGTAACTGCGCACAGGCTGCCATGCGAACAATGTGAAGCGTCACTTCAAGGGCCAGACAGTCCAAGTTGAAGTCGGCCTGACAGGCCTTCAAGTTGCCAGACTCTTGTCACATGACAATGATGACCATCAAACATCAAGCTCATCAGTCACATGGTAAAATTTAAAATATGCAAAGTTCAAGGAGGCACCGTGAGATGAACTTTTTATCCAGGCGACAACACTGAGCCTGCTCCAACAATGCAACACACTGCAACAATCGATGACATGGCAAGACCATCATCAAGGCAACAATTCTGAAACACGAGGCTTGAGAAACAAATCCATTGCCTTCAGGTCTTGCCTTCTGGGTTTCACTTGAATCCAAGTTGCACAAATTCCTGCCCATGTCGTAACATGACAGTCCCTGAATTGGTGACCCTTACACATGGTTCTTTCAAATTTCATTCAAATTCATTCAAATTTCTTTCAATTTTTAGTCTTGCAAATTTGAACTAAATTTGAATGAATTTGAATGAAATTTGAAAGAAAACGATGCATTATTGCAGTTTGTCATTACTCTACCAACACCAGGCTTTGCAAACCCTACTATCCCTGAATGACAAAAAAATTTTTCAAACCAGTCGAAAGGTCCACCCAGTATATATAAAGTGGTCTATCCCTATTTGAAGGCAAAAGGCAAAAGAGCTGGATGGTACCTACAAACCCCTCATGCCTTTGGAGGAGCCTTGCAAATTCGGACCTAAATTAGTGAGCAGGTGCCAGTATACACGTTCACCATCGTTCACCCCTTTACCGTGACTCTAGCGTGACTGTAGCGTGACTCTACCGTGACTCTAGCGTAACTCCCCCCTTGCTCGAAGTTGTGTTTAACAAAAACTTTAAAGAATCAAGTGTTTAATATAAAAAACTGTGACTCTACCTCTACCGTGACTCTAGCGTGACTCTACCGTGACTCCCCCCGTCGCCCGAAGTTTTTTTTTAAACTTTAAAGAAACAAGTTTGTATATAAAAGACTGTGACTCTAGCCCCTGCAATGCACATGTTTGTTTCCAGGGATCGTCAACTCTGGAGGGCAGCATACTGAGCGATATGCGGTTAAAATTGCACGCGTGAAGCTTGCGATTGCCAAGAAGAGATTGGCACCTGTGGATGTTTACAGCGCATGGTGCAGGTAAAAAAAGGCGCTATTGAACTTGTTTTTTGTTGACACATTTGCTGCCAGGACTCAATTGAGACACACACATATATATATAATATAACTGTTTAAACATGTTTTAACGAAACTGTCTTAACGAAGTTTTTGAGCGACGAATAACATATGATGCCGTTAAACTGCGTCGCATTTCGTACATCCAAGGAAAACTGCGTCGTTGGATGTGTAGGGAATTATACTTATTTACATGAAACGTTGTATTTTCGGATGCGAGTTTACCTAAACAGCCGGCGTGGAAGAGGCTTGGTGTTTGAGTTTGAGAAGGCGAACCAGCTACACCATTGCTGTTTGTTTCCCTTACTTTCTTCTCATTACAAAAATCAAGAATGGAGTTAACATGGAATTGAGTATGTCTCCCATGTTAATTCCAGGAGTACCCGAAGGGCTCATCGATACGCCGCTTGGCAAGGTTTGGCCTGGCAGGGGCCGGGCGCATGTTGGCAAGGCGATGTGTTTCTTTCGAAAACCACCATCATAGTGTAGAGTGTAGAGTTTAATTTATGTAGATATATATGGATACATATATATATATATATGCATGGTTAATTAATGTATGTGCCCGGACCGGTTGGACCAACAAACCTGATGCAGTAGATTGGATTGGTTTGCGGATTTGAGGTGTGAAAGATTTCTTGGACCTCCTTTTTGCTTCTCCGAAGGCGCACCGGGATGGGAGATGGATGAAACAGCGCCAGGAAAGCAGAACGTGTTGAGGGAACATGTATGAGAACGAACCTATGCTTGAGGAGAAGCAGAAGTTGGAGGATGTCAGGCAGAGGAAGACATCATTATCTATCCGATCCACTTTGCGTTTGCCACTGCGTTTCACTTTGAGGGAGAAACCGTCCGTGCTCAGCGACATGGTGGACAAGACGTTTGCTGGTCGCATCAAAAAGGGAGCCAAGTATTGCTATGCATCTTATCCAGGCAAGTTCAAGTATGGGTTCGAGGCGCTCACCAGTGATTTCGGCGAGTTCAGTGACCAGAGCGTGGCGTGCGTTTACTTTTGCACGAAAGAGGATGGGTTGGGCTGTCACCACCCTGACCCAGAAGATAGCAAAGGACGTTGCTACTGCAGAAGAATCTACGGCGAGGGAAATGATTGGAACAGAGATTACGAGACGCGTCTTGGACTTGCAGGCGTGATCAATTGTTGTTCTCAATCTGTGATTCCTCCCCCAAGACTCAAGAAGTTCAGGGCCCAGGGCCTAGGGTGGATTCCAACAATTGCTTATGGCAGTTTCAGAGCACAAGTCGTATTGCTGTGGGCTTTAGGGAGTCGGTTGGCATTGCGCTTCTCCCGCTCCCATTTTTCCGGCACCACTACTCAATCAGAATGTGGGAGCTTGCTTGCAGTAGCTCCGAACCAACAGACTTCGGCAACATATATAATGCGCAGCAACATGTACAATGTATAGTAACAAAGCTCACCACTCATCACTTTAGCCGGGCACTGGCTTTTTCTTCCAAGGTCACGTATCCGGGCACTTGTGGCAGTAATTGCCAAACAAATCGATGGTAGGCGCACGAAAGGTCCCACCAGCCTATGGTTGCGCGGGCATCCGACAATGTCCACCTGTCAGCACGTCAATGAATTCATATGAATTCAGTGCAAGCAGTACGTGTGCAGGACCCTAAACGTCCGGATAGTATATATAACTACGTACTGCAACTGACCCCCTGCCCTGAACTCTTCGTGTATCCTGTATCCTTGGTTTTGTTTCGAGTCTCGAGACAATTTGGCCTTTCAAAGAATTTGCTGCCCTTTGCACCCTCTATGAATTCTGAGGTTTGGGTACCTGCACTGGGTGGGGGAACCTTATGATAAGGAGAAAGTGGAGAAGGCACTGAAGGTGGCAGATGCCATGAATGCCGTCCTTGTTCGCAAGGATGCTAGCGAGGTGGAGATAGCCGGAGCGAGGAAAGAGGCCAAGAAGCGTTGGGAAGCAAGTGGTCGTGTCCCAGCCTGGGGTTGCTTCTGGTTTCATGTTTCTTTTCTGCACTTGGATCACTTGGCTGCAGCCCCCTTGCAGTAATGTCCACCTATGATTTATCAATATCTCCTGAATCAAGCTAAGCAAATCCCAGAACAGATTATTAAATTACCCCTAAATAAAGCTAACTGTTTTCACCCCTGGCCCTAGGTATCCCAAATCCAGCCTTTAAAAAATGTCCCAAATCCAGCCTTTAAACATGTCCTTTCTTGTAAGCTTATCAATCTAATCCCAATTTCATTCCCCTTGATGAACTCTTCTTCAAGT